CTCACTGCTTAAAAAATGGAAAATACTGTAGCTTTTTAATAGAATAACAAAATAACAGAGTTGAAAGGGATCTTGGAGGTCTTCTACGTCAATCCTCTGCTCAAGCAGGAAATCGTATACCAGGAGTGTCAAACTGCCGGCCCGCAGGCTGGATGCGTCATGCCGAAACCACACCCACCCCATTGCTGGCAATGGAAAAAAAGTTGCAATACGTTGCAACACATCACGTGATGTTGCGAGTTTGACACCTCTGCCCTATACCATTTCAGACAAATGATTGCTCATTCTCTTCTTAAAAACCTCCAGTATTGGAGCACCCATAACTTCTGGAGGCAAGTTTTTTCTTTAGCAATAGGCACTGCTGTGGTAGAACCATTAACTATAATTCCAATTCAGCATGCAGTTTTTTTCCCTGTCACTTTTAAGATTAAATGCAAATAAAAGGGGCAACACAAGATGATATTTAAAAAACTATATAAAACCTGTGTCAAAGAGTCACCAATTTTTGAAAAATATTATTTTTTTTTAATTGGGATTTTGTGGTTACCTTGTTTCCTTTTTCCTAAAAAGCATTAATTGCATTAGAAATTGAAACTATGGTAAAAAAGTATATTTCAAAATTCCAAAAAGATAATAGCTATAATACAATTGCATGGCTGATGGTCAGTATATACCTTTTAAATTATTCATGCTTCCTTCTGCACTACAGAAGAAGTCAAACTAAGATGCCGCAAAGATCAGTACATACTGATGTTATTTCTTGTGGCAACATGCTTGCTGGCTGGGAAATACATCAGCCAGGAAACAAAACTGAGATTAGTTGAATACAGAGTGTAGATTTAAATTCCTCCAGTATATTTAAATGGCCCAAAAATAGTTTTGCTAAAATTCAGATAAACATCCCATAAACAGAGATGGGTTATAAATTAAACATTAGACTGTGCAATTGTATGTATCACTATTGAAATATAAGTCTGATTTTATTTGGCCACGTTACATAAATATAATATATCAGCCTAAGGGGAAATGAACCTCAGGTAAAATAATAGTTCTTGAAGACTGTGCTGCCTGAGGCTAACTAGAATTAATTTTAAATGGATAATGTCTTTTTAAATTACTGGTAGCATTAAAGGAGGACTAGATCAATCTTACAAAATTACAAAGCAACTATGTAACACTGATTAATATTTGAGTTCATTACATCATCATAAAATAAAAAATAAAATTTGGGATCCAATTGCATAGTTATCTGGAATAAGTTCCACTAAATTCAGTAGTGTGTGTGTGAGAGAGAGAGAGAGAGAGAGAGAGAGAGAGAAAGAAAGAGAGAGAGAGAGATACCCACACCTATGCACATACAAACAATCCCATTTACTAATCGAATCAAACCTTTATTATGCGCATAGACCAACAAAAGGAGAGTTAGCCAATTAAAGGGAATAAAAGGTACATCAAAGTCTAAAATAATAAATTTTAAAACACTAAAAGATATAAAACAGAAAATATATATAATAACAAAAATCTAAAAAGAATCTAAAAAGTGAGGTAGGAACATTAGATGGATATAAAGCAGCATAAAGGTTAATATAGACTATATCTATCAAATTACAGAATATTCTAGTATGATGAACCAGCTGCTCATTTAGTCTAGTTGATGGCACAATTCATCATCATCTGATGGATTTTAAGTGCTGCTGCACAGAACCTGGTAACATCATATGTTGTGGCAGGGTGGGTATCTGAAAACAAAGGGACAAAGGTGTTCTCATCACCTTTGAAGAAGGCAATGGTATGTCCCTTGCTTCAAGAGTCTTTTGTTGATCCAACTGTTTTAGACAATTGTAGACTTGTCTGTAATTATAGACTTGTCTCCAAGCTTCTTTTCTTAGAAAGGTAGTGGAAAAGATAGTGGCCCTACAACTCCAGAAAAAAAAGCATTATTGGGCCCTTGGCAGTCAAAAGGCAAACTAATACAGCATGGAAATTACATTGGTCATGCTTGAAGTTGATCATTTGAGGGACTGGGATGAACTAGAACAAAGAGGTTTTGGTTATAATACACAATACACAAAGGAGAAAATATGAGAGGATTGAAATTTACATGATGTTCCAATCTTGAAGAGAATTTTTATAAAATAATGTATCATTAGTAAATGTCATCAGAAAAATTGTCTAGAATGGGTAATGATACCTCAAATCCATGTTGATAATGTGAACAAAAAGAAGGGACACTTTATCATGCAGAAAATTTGGGATACCAAGGCATACACTAATTCAGAGGATCTTAAAGATTGAAGGACCTTTCAATTGAACCTGGATGTTTTTGTTTTGGGATCGATGGGAATAAACAGCTGGAAAAAGTCACAGAACTTTATTTTTATGTATGATAACTGCAGCAAGATTATTATATGCACAAAAGTAGCAAGTTTTAGCACTACCATAGTGATTGAGGAAGATGATGGAACTGGTAGAGATGCTAAATTGACTAATTAGAAAATAAACAGTATCTACATTTACTGCTGACTGAAAACACCTTTTAGACTTTTGCATGAAACAGAGAAAATGAACTTAACTTAGCGAACCACAGAAATCTCGGTTCCTGCAGTCTTCTATTGAGGAGCAGTGTCCAGAGTATATGTGGACAATCTCATAACCTCTCCTTTCTCTGGAAAGATTTTGCTAGTCAGGATCCTGCTCCTTCAGGGATCTCTAGCTCACCATGTCCTCACTGGAAGTTTCCACTTGGCTCACCTCTATCAATAAGGTATGTATTTTAGTACAAGTTCATGACTTCAAGGAGCTTAAATTACTAATATTTCTTTATCCCATCCACCTCCACATCCTAAGTGTTGTACAAAAATTTAAAAAGCTTTTCTAAAAAATTAATTAGGCAGGAAAAAAAGTTAATCAGGAAAAAAAGAAACCAAGGTGAACAGATGTGACCTAGTGTAATCAAATGTTTGAAAGGAGAATTGGTTTTTAGATGCAAAAACATTCTAGTGCTGAAAGGTTTTAAGGAAAAAAAAAAGTATGTAGATATACAATAGACTTAATTAAAGTATTAGTACATGTTAACAAAAGAGTCCAAGGATAAACTTACATAACCTATAAAGAAAGAGGCAAAAAAAGTTAGTCATAAGCAAGGAAACTATTCATTCAGGAAATTTAAATATAAAATGGAGAGAGATATCTGAAATAGGAAAATTTAATACTATATTGCTAACTAAATGAGAGTTAGCACAAATACTCAAATAAGTACAATGTTTAGAAAAGAATGGAGAGTTTAGAGTAAAAACTTGTCAACCCTCTTGGGTAGACCAGACAGAAAACATAATCAGATGAACTAAATGAACTAAATGTAAGGCTACATGAACATTTTGAGTTAGAAAGTACAAACTTTCTACCCTCCACGTTTACCTGCTTACTTCATTAGGATGGGTCTTACTTTTTTTTTCCTGACCATTCAGTGACTGCAGCCCCCTGCCCCTCTCATCTGATCATTTCCTAGGCATTATCTCTTCTCCCCATTCCTCAAGGTCACCCATGCATCCCATTACAAAACTGGAAGATGAAAGCTAAATGTGAGTAATAGTCAATGAATATCCATAGACAGTTCAAATCAAAGCTCTACAATAGGAGAATGAAATATAATTTATTAAATATCTCTAATTAAAGAGTTGATTTGGAAATATTACTCAATTTCTGGCAGAACAGATGACCCTGTAAGAGTAGAAGGCCAGAGGTCTTCAACCTTCTCTCCTCTAAGCCCTCTGGGATTTCATACTCTGCCCCCAACTTCGGATTTCTAATTGGGATAATGGCTTGGTAGTTCCTTATGCTCCTACCTTTCTTCTAAGGAGCACTACACCTGCCATTGATCCCAATGCTTGTGTATGACAAAGCCTCTCACGCTCAATGCTTTCTTTCTAGTAATTAACATGCTAAAATACAAAAAGCAAAATAATAGTGTAAGTTGGTGGCTATGCAGTAAAGAGACATGACTAGTTGACCCGTGTATTCCTTTTTTCCTAATCTCACCAGAAATAAACAACACAACATTTTATTTGTGTGTGTCTGTGTGTGTGTGTACACACAAATAAAATTGCTTTTTTCCTAATCTCACCAGAAATAAACAATATAAAATCTCCAGTTAATAGCTTTGATAGATCAAATATTGATAGAAATATTGAAGTACATATATTAAATATGTATAGAGATATCAAGTTGAAAGATATGAAAATATAGTGAAATTGGATTTTAAATAATATAGTATAGATAAAGACTTTATAGAAAAAATAGTTAAAAGATTTTTAAAGTTTTATTATTAACATTAATTTCTAAGACAAAAACCTTTTTTGTAATATATTTATACAATGTGCAGCAATTTTTATATATTATATTTGGTTCTGAAAGAAAAAGCTAAAAAAATCTCATTGGCATTTTAGATCATAATTAATATTGATATAATCTCTTGATTTTTACCTTCAGTGGTCTAAATTATCCAAACATCAGAGTGTTAATAATCTTTAGTCAATACTATACAAATACCACTATATCAAAGAATATAATGGATTATGTTTTACACACACACACAGATACATATATACATATATATATTCTAAAAAATAATTTAAGTCCACACATCTTAAAGTTGTCTAGTCTGAAAAACATTGCTGTATATCATTACATCAATGCATACCTTTTGTTTCAGGTTTCCTTGTTCAAGATGACAATTTTTATTGATTAATAATAATAATAATAATAACAATAATAATAAAGTTGGAAGGGACCTTGGAGGTCATCTAGTCCAACCCCCTGCTCAGGCAGGAAACCCTATACCATTTCAGACAAATGGCTGTCCAGTCTCTTCTTAAAAACTTCCAGTGTTGGAGCATTCACCACTTCTGGAGGCAGGTTGTTCCACTGGTTAATTGTTCTAACTGTCATGAAGTTTCTCCTTAGTTCTAGGTTGCTTCTCTCCTTGATTATTTTCCATCCGTTGCTTCTTGTCCTGCTTTCAGGTGCCTTGGAAAATAGCTTGACTCCCTCTTCTTTGTGGCAGCTATATATTTTTGCTGGTTTAGTGCAATTTAATAATACAGTGTGCCTTCAACAAAGCGCATAACAGCTAACCAGTCAAAAACAATTATAACATTAGAATGCCAAGGAAAGGAAATACAAATTTGACACCAGAAAATTACAGAAACATCACAATTTATAATTTATCAATTTAAATAATAAAATAGCTAAGCCTGCTAAACATGCAGTCCCGTACCATTCTTTAAATGAGAAAGCTCTTTTTCCTTTTTTGTCGGCCACTAGTGTTAAAATCTCACATCCAAAATGTTTTTGTTCATCACAAAAGTAATTGATTAGTGTAATATCCTTGTTGTGATTATAGCATGGGCACATACTATAGAGAGATAACTGTCGACCATTGATCGAGAACCTTGGCCTAACTCATTTGGTGAGAAAGTACAAAATGGTTGAAATAAGCGGATATAATTGATTGGTGCACAAAACTCACTAGCAAGCGAAAAAAGAACAAGAGCCAGTAACATCGCACTTTTGCAGTGCCACTACTGTATTTCATAGTACAGATCTTTCCTTCCTTCCTTCCTTCCTTCCTTCCTGCTAATGAACTCCTCCTCCTAAAGATATTTCCTTATGTAACAAATAGACAAAAGGTATGGTTATACACTACACCCATTAATAGTGTACATATATATACTCACTATATATGTGTGTGTATGTGTGTGTTTGTGTTATGTAAGGGGACAATTATGAGAAGTTTTACATCAAAATATATTTTACTCTTTATACTGTTTCCATCTTCCCCTTAAAATATTAACAGAGTCCACAATAGTTTGATAATCAGTTTCTCCACTAGATAATTGATAGTCAAGCTTAAACTAAATTAATCAAGTAAAATAGCAAACGGTGAAATCTCTTTCTTAAACTTCCTCAAACTTCCAAATAAGTTACTAAGATCTAATCCACATATTAAAGAATAGCACAGTTAATTAAATTAGGTCTCCCAGAAGAAATGCATGTTCACAATACACATACACACTTCTCAAGTGTCACCCTAGAATCATCAGGAGACACTCCGGAGAAGCTCTCCTTATAAAAATCTCCTGAACCTCAATTCTCTGCAGTCTGCTCCTAAAAGCAAACTGTTTTGCTTTTAGGAATAAATATTTCTTCTTTCCTCACATCTGTCTGGAGCCCATTTTTATTTATTCTTGCACAGCCCCAGCTTGAGTTGGAACCCCAAATTATTCTTCTGACCCTTCCTTCCTTCCCTTTCAATCTGGGGAAGAAAATAATGCCAAACCACTTCCAAAAATCTTGCCAAGAAACCCACTGGAAGTTTGAATGTTTGCATGCATACAACTCAACACGGGTGCCCAAATGCATGCCTGCTTAACAGCCCCCTTCCCCATAAGTTCCAAGATACTAAAATGGTTAATGTTAATTGTGGAAGTTCATACTACTATGATTACTGTTATTTAGGTAGCATTCTTTTGAATTGTTTCTATTTCATAATATTCCATTTCTCTTGTTGAAGCAATAACTTGCAATTGACCCGTCTCTTTATCTACCAAGTCCCCAAGATAAACTCTCATCTTGAGCTTCCTTTGATCGCAGCATGCAAAAATCTAAGGGGCAGGCCAGCTGAATAGAGCATATGTTGTGAACAGAAAAGCCTACGATTATTAAGTGAATGTGTGTGTGGGGGGGGGAATCCGAATTAAATGTCGTGAGTAAAGAAAAGTGTTAGGCTGCTATTTTCGTTGGGTATCTACCTCATGCCCCGAAAGTTCAGGGTGGGCCCGGCCACCTCGACAACGCCCTGCTCTTTCGCCTCCGAGCTAGCCAAGACTTAGCAAAGCTCCCGCGGGCTCTCGGCGATCCCTTAGGCGGCCCCGACACCCTCACACCCAAAGGTGGGGCGCAGATAATTCTCTGAGGCCAAAGAAAAGCGCAACCTGAGGGGGAGCCAGTCCGGTTGCGCCTTTTCTTCTGGGGGTTTCGCGGCGTGAGGGGGCGCGGAAGGCGGTGCCTGAGGCGAGGCTGAGCGGGGCGGGATTCTTCCCACCCGCCTCATTTCGCGGCTGCCGCTGCTTGCGGCGCTTGGGCTTCTTTTTTGGGCGAAGCGAGCGGGGAGGAAGCGCTTGCAAGCGTGCCGCCCAGTCTCCGGAGCTGAAGCATCGGGGAAGAGGGAAAGCCGCCGCGCCTTCCCGCGACCCCTGCCTTCCATCCGCAGCGCCAAAGAGAAACTCCGAGGTGGGTGTCGGGACTCCCCAGCAAATGCAAGCCAGCTCTCAAGGGCGAAGGAAGGCAAGGGATCACTAGAAGACTAGAGGTGAACAAGGGGAAAGTTTGGGTGGGAACCTCAGTGCAACCACCTTAGCGGAAGAATCGGGGCCGTAGAACTAAACGGTTCGGACAAGGGTGGTTATAGCAGCCCAACTTTATGCATGCGCAAGCCTGTTGAGCAAGTTACAAGCAAGTGCGTAGAATATAGGATTACAGCGTGAAGCCCCTTAGCAAAACGTTCTTTAATTTGCGCTCTTGTTATGCACCTGCTTGCATGGCTGCTGTCTGTGGTGGCTGCAAAAGAGTTGGTTATACCGCCTCGAGGTTGTTTTTAACTTGTGAAGACTCAAACCTATGGCTTCTTTCTATAGCAACAGGGTTAGAAATGTGACTGTTTCCTTGGGAAATGGGTTTGTGGACACTTCATCCGCTTTCCTCCATCCCTCTTCTCGTGAATTCCTCCATTAAGTAAATGGCTCGCATCATTTGACCTCTCACATCATATTTTGGGCAACTGTCTCTTCCCGTTAACTTCTACCAGCATATTCCATTAGGCAGGAGCAAAGCAAACCTAAGGAAGAGCATGTCTCGGCTTAACGGTTAATTACTGTATTTGTACTCTCACTTTGTAAAGCAGACTATAAAAATACATCGGGAAAAAGTGAAATAATTTAGTTTTCCATTTTATTTCAAAACACCAGTTCCTGTTTTATTAAATTATCTTTTAAATTGCCAGAACAAACCATGTGCAATTACAATTGTAATGTGTGGCATAAGAAGTCTATGGCACTATAATTTGGATATGGGAGTATAAATTACAGTAATATTTTGAGGCACAAAGTAAAATACCAACTAGATCCTGCTGCTGGAGCAATAGCTATTTGGACCACTAGTCGATACATAAAAAAAAATTGATCCAGCTTGACTGTTTTGGAAGATTATTCATATGCAAATATATTTTCCTAGACCTGTGATAGGGAAATAAAAAAATTATGATATAATGTAATTTAATTTATTTAATTATGATGTTAATTAATGCTCAGTTCTAAAAATATTTTGTTATGGCTCTTCCCTAATAAAAAATTGGTGGATTTCATTTTTTTGGAAGGGTGCATAGTGCAGCTGATCTGAGGTTTCAGATACATTTGGCTAGAGCATTCCAATACTATTTTTTCCTTTTTAAATGAACCTCCTTGAATTTAATGCAATTTTATCTTAAACATATAGCTGAATAAAATGTATGAACTTCAGAACAAATCAGTAAGCAAGCTGTTACTTTCTTAAATAAATAATGAGATACCCAGATACTTTATATATTATATATAGTATTTATAGATATTTTCAGGAAGCATAAGCTATGTTTATTGTACTATGTACAATGATGTAATTTAAGGTTTCATCTCTGTAGGAGATCTATTGCATAGGTACAGTTCTTGATGCCTAATAATAAACTTTTGTTTATAATTTAAGTGATAAATAATGCCTTACTAATAATAAGACCTGATGTTTATAGATGTGGAAGCATGAAAGTCAGTTTCTTATTCATGTTCAGAATGTGTAGTATTTCATGTTTGCTATTCATGGCTGTATGGTCTTTACCAAGTCCTAATCAAGTTAAGGAGTGTTTAACTTAAAACAGCTTCTCATGAAATGGCTTATCTTATGAAACTCCTATGTAAAGAGAGTTTTTGCCAATTTCATCATAAGAAATGTCCTTAAATTTTTATCTTTAAATGTTTATAATATTTCCTGATCTGATAACAAAATAATTGAAATTAGATTTAATTTTAGTTCCAGAAATGAGATTAAAATTGCTTCCCAAAAAGTTTACTTCATTGAAAAAGTAGGTACTTTACTATAAATAAAGTTTGTTTTTTTTAAAAATGTATATTGTTTTCTATTTCAGTCATATACTAATGTAAAAGTGTCCCAAATTTTGCAAATCAGTATAATTTCATTTTTAATGTAGGAAAAATAATTGCTGTAACATGAAATAATTTTCCACTTTGAATGTCTTGTTGGACTATTAAAGGCTATTTAAATGATTTGTATGAAAAGCATTTTGGATGCATATAAACTGGCTCCAGCTCTTCCAAAGAATTTCATGGCTTAGCAGGCATTTGAACCCAGATCTATTCAGTATTATTTGATGCTTTATCCATTATCATGCTTACTCAGTGACACAGCAATGGCATTTTGTTAGTTATGGTTTCCAGCTCATTGCTATAGTATGCATTTAAAATATACATGCATTTATTTGGAAGAGACATCTAGAAATAAAAATATTGTGAAAAGAATATCAGCATTCTGAGTGTAAATAATTATCACATCATCTAGGAGGCCTACAAGATGTATCATTGATGGAAGTTCAGCTATGGGGAAAATTAATATTAGTTCATTAATTGATTTTCTGTAGCCCTCTAAACCTCCAAAAACTTGTCCCAAAGATTGGGAATTATTTGGATAATACAGTGAGCTGTTTAGGATAGAAAAAACTAGTGAAAATCATGTTCCACTTTCATTACCTTATTCACAAATCAAAATCTCTGCTGTATGTGGAGCTATTCTTTTACAATAGTTCATAGTCAGGCCATCAAATTCAGTGATGTATAACTCATAAGTACATGTATATATAAGATTGCACCCTTTGTATCTTATAGAGTCATGTTTGATACTTAGTTGGAATAAAAAAACAAGCAAGCACAAAGGTCACTGATTCTTGAGGTAGAATATTAATATTTTAAATGAATAAATTTTATTTCTTAAAAGATAATGTGACTTGCAAAACAGTTCTAAAAGATTTCACCTGTGAAGCACCTCTAATTAAAAAATCATAGCGACAATGAAATAGTTTCCCAGCCACAAAAACCTTTTGAAAGAAAAATGTCTTGTTCTTTCTTTAAAAAGTTTATTATTATTATTATTAACAACAACAATAATAATAAATTAATAAATAATTAATCCACTGGGCATTGTGTAAAAAATACGACTTGCCTGTGTCCGAAAAGTCGTGGGAACATAGGATGGAAAAAGTTGTTGAGAATGAGAGGGTGAAGATCTTGTGGGACTTTTGAATACAGACAGATCGCCATTTGGAACACAGCATACTGGATATCGCAGTTGAAGAGAATCAAAGTGTACAGCTGATTGATATCGATGTACTAGGAAATGCCAGAGTCAAAGAAAAAGAACTGGAAAAAATTACGAAATATCACGACCTGGTCATCGAAACTGCATGATTATGGATGAAACGTGTAACAGTGATACACATTGTCATTGGGGCCACTGGGAACTATGTCCAAAAACTGCAAAATATTTTAAGAAACTGCAGCTTCCTGCAATAATTCCAGCAATGCTATACAAAAAACTGCGCTACTCGGAACATCTTACATTTTAAGGAGGTACCTGGTTGATACCTAAGATGCTGGCAGCAACCCATGTCAACCATCAGCGCCAGTCAATTTGAATGTTCAGTTGACTGAGGTTCACGTCTAAATAATAATAATAATAATAATAATAATAGTAAGGACTCGATAGGTAGACAAAATGCCAAATCCAGTCTGAACATCTGGCTGACTGTGCGATGATTAATAATAATAATAATAATAATAAACAACCTAGGTGAATTTATATACTGTAAAGAACTATTTCTATACCAAACAGGACACAGACTAGCAGGAGGCATACACATTTAAAAATAGATATTTGTAGACAGTACTCAGAATCAAATTTTAATTCAGCCATATGGCATAATTTTTCCAATTTGGGAATAAAAAACTGCTTGCAAAATAGTTTGATATTTGTTTTCCCAAGTAGCTTAAAATTCAAATGTAAAAATACCACATTACAAACTATGGAAATAAAACTATACCATGAAGTATTTCCATCATGTACAAAATTTAAGTTTCTAAAAAGCGTCACTTTTGTTCTCTTTAAATTCAGAATTATCAAGTTTGTATGGAATGAAGAGTAGGTTCTCAACTATGAATGACATTGGTATGGGTATATACAATTCCATAATTTTTGCTTAGCTTTTCCCATTTCTGTTACTGTATTATCAGGATCTTCTTTTTGCATGTTATCCAAGTTAAAGATCCTGACTGGTTATTTCAAAAAGCTCTAGCATTCATCATCATAAATGTCTCAATTTAGGGGATATTGGCTGGAAAGGGAGCAATAAGGTAAAACATTCTTTGGGTAACATGCTAAAAAGTCATTTCTATTTTTTTTAGCTGATCATGATAGCATGTATAATGATAATCTATGCCAAGTGCAACTGATGAAGTCAATATTCACTGGAAATGAGCTTTATTATACCATTATCTCAGCACCTTCCCCACATGCCTAACCATGGCATGGATATGCCTCAGCAATTTACATGTTTTTTTGATATGTCTCCATGTTGTTGTCGTCTATTTGTCTCAACCCATCATGAAGAAGGCTGTTCAGTGTTAAAAATAGTGCTTTCTTCGTTAAGTAGCCAACAAGTGGTAGTTTTACCATAGATACAATCTTAACAGGCTTCACCAACACTTTTGTTGGTGGCAACTGTCAGATAATTTTGGGGTGGGAGGGGGAGGATGGGATCAGCTTAGTTCCTAATGGCCACTTTAGACTCATGCAGATGTATCCCTTGCTCCTCGGGCACTCTCTTCCAGGGTTGGTGTACTTGGGGAATGGAAGATTTTGTTCTATCATACTGGGCTCTCCTCCTGTATACATCCAGATAATTTGAATATTTGGATCTGCCCAATTTTTCACTTTGCTTTTTGAACAGTCATGTAGTGCTTTTCTGGGGGAAAAAAGATGTGATTGGTGAAATGGTAGAAAATGGTTTGTGGGTCCTCCTGTTGGACCTGTCAACTATTGTTTGAATTGCCAGTTATTTCATAATACATTTAACTATATGACATGGTTTACCTATCTCTGTGCTGAAGGCCCGACCCAGAGAATTGGCAGCTTGGGAGCTTCCCTTTCCCCTTTTCCTACCACCTCCCCAAACCTTTGGAACTGATCATTAGGATCGGAGATACACCAGGTGAATGG